GCCAGAAATGGCAAAGGAAGACATGTCCACATACATTTGATACATACAAACACGCAAAGCAATAAAATGGATATTATTCAACATATAGCTGAGCATTTTACAGAAAATATTCAGATGTAACCCCCAATGTAATCAGAAATATGCATTTGTGATTTAATTACATATTTTCCCAGTAGTCCTAACTGTAACAGATAACACATGCATTCATTTTGTAATTAAATTACTTGACTAAATTGCATGTAACAAATTACTCCCCAACACTGCCTGTACGTTTGTCTACTTTATTTTATGAGCATTAACAATAAGTTATGTAGAGTGGGAAATTACGTTCGTATCATTTTATAATAGAGTGCTGGTTTCTCTTAGTTTAGCATCCCGATGGAAAATGAATAATTTCACCGAGGCTCTTAAGATTTTTAATTTGCTGTCTTGTACTTCAACAACAATGTAACTGCTAAACAAAAATGTGCAGACATAATTCAACATATTATGTTCTAACTCTTTTATGATTACATTGATGATCAAAATACTCCAAATCATTATGTAGAAATATACATTTAAATACAATGTTGCCAATAAAATAACCAAATGAAACAAATAGCCTTCAGTTAATAATGGAAACTGAATAAGGATGAAACACAGCTCTGCTTTAATGATTCATTTTATAAGTAACTGTAGGCCTAATACAATCATTGTCATTGGAGGGGAAGTGAAAGCACTATATTTTCTTCAGTGAAACTTTACAGGACAAAATAACAGTGAATCCAGACAATAAGCACAACACAGGCTATGAACTGTAGGCTACTCCAGAGTTCCCAGTCACCACAAGAATAAAAGCATTTAACACAGGCTGTACAAAACATGACTTGAATTCACTCAATAATGTTAAAATAAAGTTACACTGACAATGGTATATATACGTACTTTGTGACAACGTGTGTCACACCGGTTTTAAGGCGACCTACTTAGTTCAGATGTATTTAGTAGGTGTATGGCGGGTGGATAGTGCCACGGATTATGGCGGGTGGATAGTGTCAGAGCGAGGATTACCAGGAGAAGGAGAAGGAGCAGTCTACCCTGCCATCGCCGCCAGACCGTGTGGATTTTTGAATGGGAGTGATTGGGACTGCAGACGGGAGACCGGCGGCGACTTGGCGGCGAGTGCATGGAATCAACGTCTTCCGGCGGCGACGTCACGGCGGCGTATGTTCGAATTCCTGTATAAATATATGCCTACTAAATACGTCTGAACTAGGTACGTCGCCTTACAACCGTGTGATACACACGTCGTCACTAGGTACGTCGCCACCAATACACCATTGTCAGTGTAGCTCCTATTTTAACTTTATTGAGTAAATTCAAGTCATGTTTTGTACAGCCTGTGTTAAATGCTTTTATTCTTGTGGTGACTGGGAACTCTGGAGTAGCCTACAGTTCATAGCCTGTGTTGTGCTTTATTGTTTGGATTCACTGTCCTATAAAATTCCACTGAAGAAGATGATGCTTTCATTTCCCCACAATGTGAAAATGGTTGTATTAGGCCTACAGTTACTTATAAAATTAATCATTGAAGTATTAGAGCTGTTTCATGCTTATTCAGTTTCTATTATTATTTGTTATAGGCATTTGCCTTTGGTTATTTTATTGGCAATGTATTTTAAATGTATATTTCTGCATAATGATTTGGATTATTTTGATCATGCTAATGCATTACTAATCAATGTAATCCTAAAGGAGTTATAAGATACTATGTTACCTTATGTCTGCACTTTTTTTTTTTTAGCAATTACATTGTTGTTGAAGTACAAAACACCAAATTAAAAATCTTAAGATCCTCAGTGAAGTTCTTCATTTTCCATCGGGATGCTACGCTAAGAGAAACCAGCATACTATTATACAATGATTCAAACGTAATTTCCCACTCTGCATAGCTTATTGTTAATGCTCATATAAATATAAAGCTCCCATGATTCTATACCAAGAACACCATTTAATGTTCAACTGTAGACAAACGTAAATGTAAGTGTTATCTGTTACAGTTAGGCTGACTGGTAAAATATGTAATTAAATCACAATTTCTTATGAAAATGTTTAAGATGCCATCTGAATATTTTCTTTAAAAAGCTTGGCTATATGTTGAATAATATTCATTTTGTTGCTTTGCGTGTATTTCATGTGCACATTGTCTTCCTTTGCCATTTCCAGCCACAGTTGTTTAGTAAAGTTTGTTGCTGTTCTGATGCTTTTGATTGGTTCTCATGTTTGAATTTGCAGCGCCACCACTCAATTAAACTGCCTCTCAAGCTGTGTTTTTAAAATGGTTAACTGTTGAAAAACAAAACATTTATGGCAGCATCAAATATGAGGAAAACATTGATGTAAATAAAACATGTAGCTTGGTGTTGGTCTATTTTTTATATTATAGATGACAATTGGGTACACAAAGTAAATGATAAAAGCACAATTTTAATCTACAGAATAGACCCAAAAGTAAACATCATGCCAGTTAAAAAAAATTAAAGATGGGAGGCTAGAACTTCAAGTTGTCCCTGATATCTATAATACAACAATATAGCATAATTTCATGGCCTATAGGCTACTCAATTAAATTACAAATATTACCAGTTATATTTTTGAAGTTAGAGCTATAGTTTATTAATGAATAAATGTAAAAACACACTCAGTGTAATATTTAATTAAGTAAACACCACAATTGAGATTTTCAAGTTTCTGCTGTAAACTTCTCAGCTGACATAACTTACAAAATTAAGTTGATTAATATCTTTGATAAATATTATATCCATTAGATTACCCTCCTTTTAAATTTTTGTGTAAAATTTAATTTTACAGCAACACTTTTAATGACAAAAAGGCTGGAGCATGTAGGCCTGTAGTCCTTGTATTGAAAATAATCTCTGGTTCCACACTCCAGTCCAGTTGGTGGCGCTAATGCACCTCTCGGCTAGTTTGCCAACTGCCAATAAAAAAAAGAGAAAAGAAGAACAAGTTTGAGGGGAAAAAAGACAAGCGTGACGGTGAGGGGCTTATCAACGACGTTGTGCACTGGCGACGGAGTAGCCTATCCACACACGTAGCTGTCACACGACGGTCTCCTTTGGTAGGTTATCCGTGGCACAATCCACCCGCCATACACGGATAACCTACCAAAGGAGACCGTCGTAGAAATTTAAAAGGAGGGTAATGTAATGGATATAATATTTATCCAAGATATTAATCAACTTAATTTTGTAAGTTATGTCAGCTGAGAAGTTTACAACAGAAACTTGAAAAACTCAATTGTGGGGTTTACTTAATTAAATATTACATTGAGTGTGTTTTTACATTTATTCGTTAATAGACTATAGCTCTAACTTCAAAAATATAACTGGTAATATTTGTAATTTAATTGAGTAGCCATGAAATTATGCTATATTGTTGTATTATAGATATCAGGGAAAACTTGAAGTTCTAGCCTCCCATCTTTAATTTTTTAACTAGCATGATTGTTTACTTTTGGGTCTATTCTGTAGATTAAAATTGTGCTTTTATCATTTACTTTGTGTACCCAATTGTCATCTATAATATAAAAAACAGACCAACACCAAGCTACATGTTTTATTTACATCAATGTTTTCCTCATATGCTGCCATAAATGTTTTGTTTTTCAACAGTTAACCATTTTAAAAACACAGCTTGAGAGGCAGTTTAATTGAGTGGTGGCGCTGCAAATTCAAACATGAGAACCAATCAAAAGCATCAGAACAGCAACAAACTTTACTAAACAACTGTGGCTGGAAATGGCAAAGGAAGACAATGTGCACATGAAATACATGCAAAGCAACAAAATGAATATTATTCAATATCTAGCCAAGCTTTTTAAAGAAAATATTCAGATGGCATCTTAAACATTTTCATAAGAAATTGTGATTTAATTACCAGTCGGCCTAACTAACAGATGACACTTACATTTATTTTATAATTAAATTATTTGACTAAATTGCATGTAAGTAGTTACTCCCCAACACTGCCTGTATGTTTGTCTACAGTTGAACATTAATTGGTGTTCTTCTTGGTATAGAATCATGGGAGCTTTATATTATGAGCATTAACAATAAGCTATACAGAGCGGGAAATTACATTTGTATAATAGTATGCTAGTTTCTCTTATTGTATCATCCCGATGGAAAATGAAGAACTTTTTTTTTTTGCTGTCTTGTACTTCAACAACAATGTAATTGCTAAAAAAAAAAGTGCAGACATAAGGCAACATAGTATCTTATAACTCCTTTAGGATTACATTGATTAGTAACGCATTAGCGACGTACCTAGTTCAGATGTATTTATTAGACGTATATTTATACAGGAATTCTAACATACACCGCCGTGACGTCGCCGCCAGAAGACGTTCCTTCCATGCACTCGCCGCTGGTCTCCCGTCTGCAGTCCCAATCAAAATTCCACACGGTCTGGCGGCGACGGCAGGGTAGACTGCTCCTTATCCTTCTCCTGGTAATCCTTGCTCTGACACTATCCACTTGCCATAGAAATGTAGCGGTGATGTTTTCCTCTGCTCCGCTCGTTTTCACCGTCACCTACTGCCGCTTGTCACGATGCTGACATTTGAAGAATGAGCAGAGGACGCTAGCTAAGTGTTACCACGCTGCACAGTGTGCGGGTGAAAATCATTAACGTGAGTTACGCATCGACTTTACTGATCATGTGATATTTTTAGTAGCAGTAGTCACTCACTCAATAGCAGCCTGTCTGTGCTAAACAGGGACAACCACACGTCTCCGTTGTGTGCACCGCACAGAGCTGCATCTCTGAGTTCCGCCTTTTTCGTTCCGTCAACATTACATTATCAATTAACGTCTAGATAATCGATTATTGACATTTGTTTCATAATTGTCCTAGTCTGCATCGCGATGCATCTAAAAATGAATTATTTTCCACACCCCTAGATGCTATCATGTCAATATGGACCAAAATCTCTGAGGAATGTTTCCAACACCTTGTTGAAAGTATGCCACGGAGAATTAAGGCAGGTCTGAAGGCAAAAGGGGGTCCAACCCTGTACTATCAAGGTGTACCTAATAAAGTGGCCAATGAGTGCATATTCATAGTGCATTTAAATTGTGTTTACACTGTTTTTTCACATGAAGTCAAACAACACAAAGACTAATAGCTTCTCTTCTTGAAAGTCAGATGTGTAAGCCTCCTTATAGTTAACCTGGTTAGAAAATCAGATCTAGGTCTTCCATCACTGTTTCCCTGGTCTGAGAGATGCAGAGAAGCTAAAAATAACGTGGGAACCCACATCAATACTCACACTTTTGACACAGACTGACACATACGCACAGTCTACCAAATATCTGTGTGAATGATATAGTGCTGGGCAACGCAAATTTTTTTTATCGCAATTAATCGCATTGTTATGTGCAAAATTGAATAATGAATTCTAAAGTAGTGTAGTGTAAATGTACTGCTATATACACAAAAGTGCAATAACGTGGTTTGCAAATACTTTAAACAAATAAAGTGCTTTTAACCAGCGGTATTCCCTTTATACAGTAGCAATAAAATATGCAAATCTCAACTTAAACATTACTGTGATCAAATCAATCAAATCAAATATTAAACCAAAGCTGTTCGCCACTGCCAGGGCATTACCTTTTATCTAGCTTGTTAAAACAAGTTAAGAGTCGAGAGCCACGATCAGAACAGAATAACAGGCTCCTTCTGAGCAACAGGTTAAAAGATATAAATCTGTTTTCTTGTTTTTTTTTCTGAACAGGTATCAGCAGAAACATTTTTCTTTTATCAGGGAGCAGCAGAAACAGTCAAGTTAGAGTGAGGTGAAGTGGTCGAGCACAAGGTGTAGCAACAAGCGGGAGCATTTCCATGAAACTGTCACGGCTGCACATGCCCACCAGCTGCGGAAGTTGAATTGTCTTGAACTTTTTGTACAAGATGCGGAGCACAAATCATTGGAAGAGAGACCGATCCTCGCTGTTTGTGAGTTTCCATAATCTATTACTGTTTAACTAAATAGGACATCAACAGGAGGGAATTCACATGTCAGAGCATCCCTGCAAAACTAGATGAAGGCCTATCAGGTAAAGTTATGTAGCCTATCATTTTAACTGAAGTGAAATAGGCTACAGCGCACTGAAGCTGTTGCCATGGTTACTATCCATAGAGCGCCTGCTGCTTTTCTTCCTTTCGGTTTACCTGAGAGAACCTGTGGGGCCAAGCGACAACGTTGTGATTTTAAGAACATTCCTCAGACCGATGTTAATAATGTGTTAATGTGCCCAGCCCTAATAATTATTAATGAATGCAGAAATATGCAATGTTAATACATATGAATAAGTACTATTTCAGCTTCAGCAGTCATATTCTTTAAACTTGAATTATGACGAGTCGGGGGAGTTTGCATTCATAGCCTCAAACCACATCCAGTACAGCACTGCTGTTAAAACCAAATAGCTTCCGTGTTTGAGAAAGTCAGGTTTTTATTACCTCTTTAGAAATATTTATTTCAACTTCCCCATCTCCTCTGTGTGTGCACTGTCGGCCAATTTGTGTTCATACTTGCACAAGTCGTTCTCGTCCTTGTGGGAGTTGCTATGGCTCTCCAACACTATACTGGTGATTGTGGACTAACTGACCGATATACAGGATGGGTGCTCTTAAAGTTGACAAAACAGGAAAAAGCGCACACGATGCCTCTTCAAACTTCAAGCGTTCACAATGGCCCCATGTTATTGTACAGCATGAGTGCTGTTCTATTTCTTCTACTTGCTTCCTCATTCTACTCATTGTTATATGTTGGATATCTTGGTGCGTATCTGAAGGAGGTAAAATAAAAGTGAATGACTCAGGCTTAAGACAGACATGCCAATCATTAACAAGGAGCCGTGTAAAGTTCAAATTTCCCAAATTTTGTCCACAAACAAACTGCAATTAAGTAATTATGGAGGTTTGTGAATGCGTATCCCACACTGTAGAGATGCAACATGAACAGCACAAGACAAAACCCCTGAAGCCATTTTCTTTGGGCTTTTTAAGCCTTTCTTACTTCTAGCTCCACCAGCTTCAATCACTCACACCACCTGCGTCTGTCAAGCCTCTTCATCCACGACCATAATACTCCCATCAAACACAAAGACCCACCAACCCCGCAATACTGCTATGTCTAGTTTTTTCTGCAATTAGCTAAAGTAGCCAAAAATGTATTTGATACCATTTTAAATGTAGACATTTTCTGCAGAAATCAGATCAATTATTTAAATGTGAAGAAAATTATGAGCCTGACACCAACATAAAAACAGAAGAGAAAAAAAATGTTTTCTCCACCAACTGACAGTACCTGTAAATTGTGCCATCCAATAATTCAGCACAGTATCCCAATGTAGTCTGTATTTGTATTTTAAGTACACTGCATCTTAGTTCACAAATGAAGGATAACATAGATAACACACTTTAATGTTGCATAGTAAAGAAGAACACTGAAGTGTGTGTTGGTACATACCTCTCTCTTGTACAAAGTAAGCGAGGTAGAGGTCGAGCTCTTTGACAGAGACAGAGATGTGTCGAGGCTGGACACAGAGGACTGGATTGGAGCATTGGCCTCCCTTCACCAGCCGCTCTCCATCTGTGCTTTCCAATGGGATTCCTTTAAATAGGATGACCATCACCAGGTCCAACCTCCACACCTTGGAAACGACAAAACATAACAATTATTGACTAAAAACAACATGAATCTAACTCTAGCCAGGGTTAGTGTAACTATATACCATGAGGGATTGCTGAACCACTGCTCCCCTTCATGTATATAATATACTGCTTCATTGAATAGTTTAAAGTTGTCTATACTGGCCAAACGTTTTACTTCAAATTTATACTTTCATTACTTGTTAACCCTGCGATGGATTGGCGACCTGTCCAGGGTGTACCCCGCCTTTCACCCGATGTAAGCTGGGATTGGCTCCAGCCCCCCGCGACCCTGTACGCGGGATAAGCAGCTGACGATGGATTGGTGTTAACCAAGCCAACTTCTCTGCTGCTAAGTGTGGGATTATGTGTGTTTCTTTTAAGAGAGATGGAGCAAATAAAATCAGATGATGTCCTCTACAGAGGGAAAAATGAAAAGCGTTTGTGTGTGACAGCAGGAAAGCTGTTGGTCGTCTTCTTTTGCCATGTTTTTACATATGTGTTGATAAAGATATGTCTGAAATACAATTTTTTTTATAATTTGCAAATGCCACATTTTTCATGCCAACTTCTTACATTATGAAAAAAAAAAAACACACTTTACCTATCTAATTAAATGCAGTAAACAAAGCGGGATTCAACTAACTAATTGACCCTAACTAACACTTGGAAATGTTCTCTGGGCAGTGGCTAACTGGGCCCAATTTGGACATTTTCACTTAAGGTGTACTCACTTTTGTTGCCAGCAAGCTGTACGCTCAATACTTTACATTGTAGCAAAGTGTCATTTATTCAGTGTTACATGAAACATGAACATGTGTGAGCACGCGCGCACACACACACACACACACACGCTCCTGGATAGCTCACTGATACGCAAGAGCACACTACGCAGGTATGGAATGGGCAGCTGAACGCAAACAAACATCCTTGCTGATACTTGGAAAGGAATAAAACTTAACACCCGTCAGCCTGTAGATGTCCTCAAATCCTCTCCATTTCACTCAGCCAGCTCCTTTTAAATTACAGATCTGCATGATTCACATGGGTCAGACTTTCAGGTCAGAAAATCCGGAATAATCCGGAAAAATCACATCCCTGGAATATGGATCTGATGCAATGCTACTATACAAGTAATCCCAGTAAGAGGGGTTATATGCAGAGACTATGGGATATATGGATGCTTCGAAACCCATCATCAACATTGACAAAGAAACAACTTCTAGCTCAGTGTTCTAATATCCGCAAACGGCAGCTCCTATCACAACTAGAGATTGATGAGGTACAACAAATATGCTAAGGCAATTGGGAGGCAGGACGACATGTCAGCGGGGAGATGTCATCATCATTCCCACACTCAGAGATTGGGTCCCAAGCCCCAATAACAACAAGCCCTTACGGCACAGAATCACTCAACATAAGGGTGACTTTGAAGATCATAACCAAACTGGACCCCCAAGTACAACGACCAAGATTGCCAAGGCTAAGTGACAAAGTACCCTCTGAAAGTCTGCTAGAAGATGTGAATGCAGCACTACATACTATTCCTACGTACGCCACAGCAATAGTGATCCTAGAGATGCTTGGCTATAAGATGAACACAAGCCACAAAGAGCATTAGTCTTCTCCCCCCATGGAGGAGAAGGCTAGAGGTCAAGATCAAGGCAACACAAAGAGAGGTTAGTCAGCTCTCAGAACTACAGAAAGGTGCAAGGAAGGGGATACCTAAGAAATACAACAAGCTGTCGATACTTGAGGCTCTGGAAACTGCCAATGGCAGCTGGACTCCATCACCCAGGACTGGCTGGGTGATGGAGAATATGTTAGCCTAAATGAATCCACCCCTCCCAGTCATATTAATACTCACATTCCTCGAGGCACAGGCCGAGGAGGTGGAGTTGCAGCTATCTTCGACTCTAGCCTATTAATCAGCTCTAAACCTAAACTAAACTATAACTCATTTGAAAGTCTTGTTCTTAGTCTTTCGCACCCAAGTTGGAAATCACTGCAACCAATTCTTTTTGTTATAGTGTACCGAGCACCTGGCCCGTATTCTGAATTCTTATCTGAATTTGCAGAGTTTTTGTCAACTTTAGTCCTTAAAACGGACAAAGTTATTATTGTAGGAGATTTTAATATTCATGTGGACGCTGAGAATGACAGCTTAGTACTGCGTTTATCTCTCTGTTAGATTCCATCGGCTTCTCTCAGAGTGTTCATGAACCGACTCACTGTTTTAACCACACCCTTGACCTTGTTTTGGTGTATGGTATTGAAATTGAACATTTAGTGGTGTTCCCACAGAATCCCTCTTTATCCGACCACTGTTTGATAACTTTTGAGTTTGTATTGCTGAACTACTCGCCATTGGGCAAAAATTTCTATACAAGATGTCTGTCTGATAGTGCTATAGCTAAATTTAAGGATGCGATTCCATCAGCTCTAAATACATTATCTAGTCACAAAGTAACGGAGGACTCCTATGCTAATTTCAGTCCCTCCCAAATCGATCATCTTGTTGATAGTGCTGCTGGCTCGCTGCGAATGACACTCGACTCTGTAGCCCCTCTAAAAAAGAAAATACTAAAACAAAGACGGTTAGCTCCATGGTATAATACTGAAACTCGCAAATTAAAGCAAATATCACGGAAACTTGAGAGGAATTGGCGTTCCACCAAAGTGGAAAATTCTCGTTTAATTTGGCAAGATAGTCTTAAAACTTATAGGAAGGCCCTCCGTAATGCCAGAGCAGCGTACTACTCGTCATTAATAGAGGAAAATAGGAACAACCCCAGGTTTCTTTTCAGCACTGTAGCCAGGCTGACAGAGAGTCACAGCTCTATTGAGCCAAGTATTCCCATAGCTCTCAGTAGTTACGATTCATGAGCTTCTTTAATGATAAAATTCTAGCTATTAGAGACAAAATTCACCAAGACCTGCCCTCAACTGGCACCAACTTATCTCTAAACTCAGGAACCTTAGAAACAGCTGTAGAACCAGATACATGTTTAGACTGTTTTGCTTCCCTCAATCTTTACCAACTAACTTCAATAATTTCTTCATCTAAACCATCAACCTGCCTCTTAGACCCCATCCCGACTAGGCTGCTTAAAGATGTTTTACCCTTAGTCAGCACCTCTATACTAGATATGATCAATCTATCTTTATCAACAGGCTATGTACCACAGTACTTTAAAGTAGCTGTAATTAAACCTCTTCTGAAAAAGCCCAAACTTGATCCGGATGTTTTATCAAACTATAGACCTATATCTAACCTTCCATTTCTCTCTAAGGTTCTGGAAAGCAGTTGCTAAACAGCTGTGTGACTTTCTACAGAGCAATAGTTTATTTGAGGATTTTCAGTCAGGATTTAGAGCTCATCATAGCACAGAGACAGCACTGGTGAAAATTACTAATGACCTCCTTATTGCATCAGACAAAGGACTTGTCTCTGTACTGGTTTTATTAGATCTTAGTGCTGCATTTGATACCATTGACCATCAGATCCTATTGCAGAGACTGGAATATTTCATTGGCATTAAAGGAACCGCTCTAAGCTGGTTTAAGTCCTATTTATCAGATCGATTTCAGTTTGTACATGTTAACGATGAGTCCTCCATGCACGCCAAAGTTACTCATGGAGTTCCTCAAGGATCTGTCCTTGGACCAATCCTCTTCACTTTATATATGCTTCCTTTAGGCAATATTATCAGGAAACATTCCATAAGCTTTCATTGTTATGCAGATGATACTCAGTTATATCTATCGATCAAGCCAGATGAAACTCATCAGTTAGCTAAACTTCAAATGTGCCTTCAGGATGTTAAAACCTGGATGAGCTGTAATTTTCTTATGTTAAACTCAGATAAAACTGAAGTTATTGTTCTGGGGCCTAAGCACCTCCGTGACGCATTATCTAAAGATATAGTTTCCCTGGATGGCATCGCCTTGGCCTCCAGCACCACTGTGAGGAATCTTGGAGTTATCTTTGATCAGGACATGTCGTTTAAGTCCACATAAGCAATTTCAAGGACCGCCTTTTTTCACCTACGAATATTGCGAAAATCAGGAACATCCTGTCTAAAAATGATGCAGAAAAACTAGTCCATGCATTTGTTACTTCTAGGCTGGATTACTGCAATTCCTTATTATCAGGCTGCTCGAAAAAGTCCATTAAGACTCTTCAGCTGATCCAGAATGCTGCAGCACGTGTTCTGACAGGAACCAGGAAAAGAGATCACTTTCTCCTGTTTTAGCTTCTTTGCATTGGCTTCCAGTAAAATCCAGAATAGAATTTAAAATCATTCTTCTTACCTACAAAGCTCTTAATGGTCAGGCACCATCTTATCTTAAAGAGCTCATAGTACCTTACTACCCCACCAGAGCACTGCGCTCCCAGAATGCAGGGTTACTTGTGGTTCCTAGAGTCTCCAAAAGTAGACTAGGAGCCAGAGCGTTCAGCTATCAAGCTCCTCTCCTGTGGAACCAGGTTCCAGTTTGGGTTCAGGAGGCAGACACCATCTCCACATTTAAGAGTAGGCTTAAGACTTTCCTCTTTGATAAAGCTTATAGTTAGGGCTGGCTCAGGTAGTCCTGAACCATCCCTTAGTTAGCTGCTATAGGCCTAGACTGCCGGGGGATTTCCCATGATGCACTGAGCTCCCCTCCTCTACTTTCTCTCCCTCTGTATGCAACCTTATCCCATTATTGCATGTTACTAACACAACTTCTCCCCTTTCTGGTAGTCTTGTGCTTTCTCGTCCCTCTCCTCTCTCCTCCTATCACTTCCTGCAGGTTTTCTGGCTCTGGAGCTGTGGAGTCTGGATCTGTGGCTGCGGGTCGCCTGCTGCCCCCGTGTTCCTGCTCGACACCCTCTACTGCAACGACTATTGTTGCTAGTCTTATTGTTATTATAATCATTAACATTACGATGGTTACCATTAACACTATTATAAATATCTGTACCATTTTTCATTTAGTTTATAGCAACATTACCTTCGCTGTCTGTACCTCTGTGTGTATATTGTGTAGGCTGCCTCCCTCCCCTCTCTCTCTCCTTACATCCCTCTCTCTCTCTCTCTTTCTCTCTCTCTCTCTCTTTCACTCTCTTCTCTCTCTCTTTCTCTCTCTCTCTCTCTCACCCCAACCGGTCGAGGCAGATGGCCGCCCACCCTGAGCCATGGTTCTGCTCGAGGTTTCTGCCTCTTAAAAGGAAGTTTTTCCTTGCCTCTGTCGCCTAGTGCTTGCTCTTGGTGGGAACTGTTGGGCTTCTGTAAATATCATCACAGAGTACGGTCTAGACCTGCTCTTTTATGAAAAGCGCTGTGAGATAACTGTTGTTGTGATTTGGCGCTATATAAATAAAATTGAATTGAATTGAATTGAAGGAAGTCCGCAACAGCCAAATACCTACAGAGACTAAGGCAGGTCCTGAAAAGTCAGCTGAATGGGAAGAACAAGATCCAAGCCATCAACACATACGCCCTGTCAGTCATCAGATACCCCACTGGTATACTAAACTGGCCAAAGGAGGAGATAGAGGCTACTGACATCAAGATGAGAAAGCTCCTCACAATGCATGGAGGGAGGCCGAGGACTAGTGAGTGTCAAGACCACTGTCCAGGATGAAACAACGAAGATCCAGGAGTACATCAGGAAGATGGCCCCCAAAGATGAAGGGCTTAGTGAATACCTCAGGCAGCAGAAACCCGAAGGTGAGGACAAGGAAGATGAAGAACCTTCATGGAGGGACAAACCGCTGCACGGCATGTACCACAGACAAATAGAAGAAGTGGCTGATATCATGAAATCCTACCAGTGGCTGGAAAAGGCTGGACTGAAGGACAGCACAGAAGGACTAATCATAGCGGCACAAGAACAGGCACTCAGTACAAGATCAATAGAGGCTGGGGTCTACCACACCAGGCAGGACCCCAGGTGCAGACTGTGCAAGAATGCCCCTGAGACAATACAGCACATAACAGCAGGGTGTAAGATGCAGGCAGGAAGTGCGTACATGGAACACCATAACCAGGTAGCTGGCATGGTGTACAGGAACATCTGCCATGAGTATGGGCTGGAAGTCGGAGGGCAATCCAAAGCATTTAACGGAGTACTTGTACTCCTGTTGTCCTGTAAAACACAGGACAAGAATCGTGGGGCAAATAAGAGTTTGCAGCAGTGAGGTAATACTTTACCTTTCCTACTCTTGAGGTGCTATTTCTTTGCACATTTACTGAGCAATCCACTAGAATCTGAAGGCCGGCTGAGCGAGATCAAACAACTGGGTGTGTGTCCCACCCACTGAAACCAAGCTTTTGTCTTGTTAATCCGGAGGGCGATCTCAGCTGGGTGCAATCACTCTTAATGCCCAACACCTGTGTACAATTAGACTCACAGTACTTCAGTGAAACTTACCACTGAAGCGTCAGCGTCTGCTCCTTGTGTGAAGACCTACTTGGGTAAAGACCAGCGAGTCTACCTGTGCGAGTCCACTGAGCAAGGCCGCCTACACGAGAAGCTTTTTCCCTTTCTGAGGCACACCCACTCACCTAAAGCTGCCAGCTACAACAACACTCAGGCCATGTGCTACTACACTATTCCTATTGTCTCCGGTACACGCAAGAGACATCATGCCATCAGGCACAGAAACCAGGCACTCCTCAAGCCTTTAAAACCGGCACAACCCACATCTGTTTACTTGTCTGGGGTCATGGAACTGCCAGTCGGCAGTCAACAAAGCTGACTTCATCACTGCTTATGCTACACATTATCTCTTGGGCTACTGGCGCTCACTGAGACCTGGATCAAACCTGAAAACTCTGCTACCCCCGCTGCGCTGTCCACCAATTACTCTTTCACCCACACCCCCCGGCCATCTGGGAGGGGGGTGACTGGGTAACTTTGTGGAGGAGCTAGACACACTGCTGACCACTATTTCATTCAGTTCACGGTATGCCTACAAGAAAAGCCCATTCTTCCAACACCATTGGTTTCACACCGCCGCAACCTCCGCAACCTGTCTCCAGCTCACTTTGCCTCAGTGGTAGCTTCCGCTCTACCCTTCCCCTCAACACATTTTCCTCACTTGAGGTCAATGATGCCACACAATCTCTGTGCTCTACACTAAGCTCGTTCGGTCATGCCGCTTTTCTCTATACAACATAAGGAAAATCAGGCCCTACCTCACTCAGTACACCACCCAGCTTCTGGTACAGGCCATGGTTATCTCTCGCATCGACTACTGCAATGCCCTCCTAGCAGGTCTCCCAGCTTGTGCGGTGAAACCTTTACAAATGGTTTAGAACACAGCAGCACGTCTGGTTTTTGATCAGCCCAAAAGGACTCATGTCACTCCATTACTCAGTGACCTCCACTGGCTCCCCGTGGCCTCCAGAATCAAAATCAAATCACTAATGCTTGCATACAGAGTGACTATTGGGTCTGCACCCATCTACCTAAACTCCATAATACAAACTTATGTTCCTTCTCGGCTGCTACGCTCCTCCAACGAACGCCGCCTGGCTCTGCCATCCCTTCACACAAAGCAATCCCAGTCCCGGCTATCTCATCTGTGACACCACGATGGTGGAACGAGCTACCACACGCCATCAGAGCAGGGGCGTCCCTCTCTAACTTCAAGAAGCTCTTGAAAACTCATCTCTTCCGAGAACACTTCCTCTTATAACACCTTTAACTCCTAATCTCTAACATGCACTTCCAAAGTGACCCCAAACTGGGAGAGTGGCTACAGCAGATTCCAGGTAAAACATCAGAGGTCTCTGTCCAGAAGAGTGCAGTCCTAGGAACAGCTAAGATACTGCGCAGAACCCTCAAACTCCCAGGCCTCTGGTAGAGGACCCCAGCTTGAGGATGACACATACCACCCCGCAAGGGGTGACAGGGGGATTTATATTACACACACACACACACACACACACACACAATATCATACTTTTTCTGTCAAGCCCCTTATGAAGCTTAAAAAAAGTGAATTTTTATCAATCATTTACAATTACAAAATAGCCTTGCTAGCATCCGAGCACATTTGTTTGTTTACTTAACCACTTGAATCATATTCATGCAACTGAATGAAGGTCTGCGCAAGGTGCAAACTACGGGGGAGCCAGGGGTAGCTTAGCTCCTCTAAAACCAGGATTTGTGAAATTTTAGGGGGTCTCTAAAATATTGACAATATGCTTTTTGCCATTAATTTCTATTTTTCTGTATCATCATGGATCATGCGTGAAATCAGGAGCGCCGGGCTTCGTCCAACCAGAGGGAACGATCGCCGACCATCCACAGCATACCTGGTCGCTCCGCAATCTCCTGACCCTGGCCCTGTACAGCGCCCCACTCCCCCTACAGTACCTATAATGGGTTGTGTCGCTAGTATGACCGGCGCGTTTCAGGTGGTTGGTGACCGTTTCCTTTGGCTGGATGAATTTTACGTATGATCCGTGCAACACTGCAGCTTGTGGCTCTCTGCAGCGCCACGCAACTTTCTAAATTCTTCCATCTCACGGAGTAAAGAAAGGTCAGATTGAAACAGTGTACAGAGACTGCCGCAGCTGTTATGTAAAGCCTATTGCAGCAAAATGGCAACATATAATAAGAATATAATAATAATAATAAGACAAGCAATGCCAGATATTTTCACATTCAGCCCCAGGCCTAGATGCTTGCAGCTATGAAATTCAGCAGACCATCCATGACCCCCCTGAAGTAGCTCTGCACCCCCCCAGTTTGAAAACCACTGCCCTACACATATCAAACACAAATATTCACACACCACTATATATAAAATCAACAGAACCCAAAACCAGACAACAAACATCACATTGTTCTCTGGACAGACTTTTGTTAATTGTCCTGTATTTACTATTTTGTTTTCCTCGTAAAAGAATAATTAAAAAGTTTAAAACGGGGCACAGTTAAATATCAAAACACATGTAATCACAACCGATAAATGGTTTAGATCCACAACTCTCCATACCAGTAAATGTAAATACTAAATGTTTTGGTGTACGTTCTGCTAACTATGAAGAACGTGCATGTGGGTTTATGAATTAGAGGACATGTGTGCAGAACTTGTGAATGATCAAAACTGTAAATAGCCACGATAGCCCTAGTTGCAAATGTGTTATGCTGAACTTGTATGACATTATTCTGTAAACTAACTTTATATGAAACATTTTACTCAACTGCACCTCTACTTTCCTTTAAGATGCAGTCTAATGTAAAGGTAGGTGCTGCTCTAGGTTAGTGAAAATTGAATGCTCTATGGAGAGAAAAATCACTAATCAATAAGATCCACTTGTATTGTGTTTCTAGAGACATACTGCTCCTATTAGCTGTTTGTTTTATGTAAAATATTGAAAGATAATACTGACCCATAACTGGCTTTTGTCCACTGCATATGGCGTACCTTTATGACGCAAAAAATATCTTGATATAACAATTATGATGTAACCCTGTGATTTTTTACTGTCATGTTCACAAGTGTACGGATGCAGGCATACTATTTTAATCTGGGTGAGAATAATTACCCACCCTCTGAAAAACATTTGCCTGTAAACCATCATACTTATTTTCATCATACATCATTTTTGGTTAGAAGCTCTGAACTCAGCAACATTTACTTATTATCCTGACCAGCTGACACAAAACAACTGTGGAACAGAACTACTGTAAATTAATAGGTGCGATTAGGCAGAATTTTATTTACCTTGTCAGCTTGTCGGAGACAGTCTATGCGTCTCATTTTGCCTTTCTGGTCAGGGTTTGACAGGACACAGCATGCAGCTTTCTTCCCAGTGATTGACAGGACAAAATCTTCTCTGCATTCAGGTCTAATGTCCTTTCTTAGCTTGGCCAAAAGACGGCTGGCCCACTTCTGTTTCACCTAGGAACAGAATGATATTGTAAAGGGAGTTATGTCTATTAATATATTGTACTCGCATATATAAATAGCTGTAAGACCAGTAAGTCAAATTTGGAAATGTATATAACATGTTATAAAACACTGGTTTAACTACATACATAATGTTTTTAGTTTTTAGTTTTTAGTTTTAGCTACTTGAGTTCAAAATAAAAATATTTATTTCTATTATCCACCACTCCAATCCATCCCACCTCTGCCTTTTCCCCAAGAAGTTCGTCTTTGACAGCTCGCTCTTCTTCTTTAGTCATCCTTTTCATGTTTTTGAAGTACTTCCTTTTCCTGGCCTGGAGGTTGAACCATGTGTAGGCGAAGGCACGGACCTGAGGCAGCAGAGCCTCAATGAACGGATGGAACTCATCCTACATGACAGACAGACACATTAAGTTAAATACACACGCATACACTACACACAATTATCAGTAACCAAACCAACTTTAACCACAACTTCCTTAGTTTGGACATGTAGCATCTATTTTCCTAACAGCACACCGACATAATCAGGCTACAACACAGCCGCTCTGGTGGCCCGCTTGACAGACAAGCACTCCCTCTCCACATATAGGCAGTATGTGGACACCATGGTCTTGTGGTTCCAGGAGAGCTCCCTGGAACTGATCAATAAGACCAAGAAGATGTGTTGTGGGGGGGTGCCGGGCAACTGATACCACACCCTCTCTCTGAACCACTCAGGCTGGAGGGGCAGGTGGTAGAACAAGTCAAGAGCTTTAAATATCTGGGCACTGATATTGACCACCACTTGTCCTCCACACAACATGTAGATGGGGTCTACAAAGGCCAGAGAACGCCTGAGAAGGCTGAAAGGTTTTAATGTCAGACAGGACATTTTACCAACAGTGTATCGGTCACTCGTCGAATCAGTTCTCATATTCAACATTGCATCCTGGTGCAAGTTCCTCCCAGAGAAAATCAAGAAAAAAACTCACAAGAATCATCAAACATGCCACCAAAATCACAGGCACCACTCAAATCCAGCTGTTTTTTTTCAGCCATGCAATAAAAAGAAAGGCAGACTCCATCACTAAGGACCCTTTACATCCCCTTTCCCACTTCCTTCAGCTACTGCCACCGCTGCTTCAGAGCACCTCTGGCCAAAAGAACTCACAAAAACTCTTTCATTCCCACTGCAATATCCATTTTAAACAACGACAAATAGACTGACACTACTTTAAATGCAGCTTTGTACACCTGCTCCTATTTATTTATGGAATTGTTTGTGTTTTAATATAATCTTATGCGAGTATTTCATGGGTGTATGTTTTTGTTGTATGTGAGCCCCTAACCTAAGACAATTTTCTATCATTATGTGATAGACAATAAAGTTTTTTTTTTTTCAATAAAGTGTTATGTGGATAAATACAGTTGCAATGAATCACTGCAAATCAGTTTTATTGTCAGAAGTTACAATCGTTCAGCTGTTTGCAATGAACAAATCAAACAAAAGCAAAGGAAATATCTCAAAACAACAAATGCAACAAAGTGTTGCCCCCAAATTCAACTGAAAATGCAACTTATAATGACTTCTTCAGTCTCAAAATTATTCGACCACCTTAATAGAATCCCTTACAACAGCACAAATACACAAAACAGGTGTTGTCTCAAGCACACCTGATGCAACTAATACATGGCTTTTTTTAGTTATCACCAGGGGCCTGTACCACGGAGCAGGATTTGAGCTTATCCGGGTACCCTGGGTTTTCAGTACAACGAAAGTGGTTCACTTCTTACCGGGGTAGATCGCCATGGTTATGTATGCTGAACGGCTAACCTCTCCGGAGCAGGTTATGTTCCACATAAGAGATCAACTCTATGAAAACGCTCCCTACTGACCAATCAGCTCTGTTGGAAAATGACGTCACCATCTGTAGGAAATCCCACAGACTGTTTTATAGGCTGCTTTATGTTTGCTGCAGTGATACGGAGAAACTCTTGTAGGCTAAAGCGATATCATCCTACAGAGACTGATTAAAAGCTTTAGGCCATTGTTGCCTACATGTTTTTACAGTAAGCCTATTTACTGCTTTGAAATGTGTTTAATATTTTTTATTTGCTCCCTGTCCGTTTCACACAGCCTGTTGCAGCCGTTAAAAAATATTATTATGATAATAATAACTATTAAGAGCAGTTTGGTAGGGATATTGAAATACTAAGATTTGATATGAATGTAGGCTATTTATTTTAGGTTAGTAGCTTTCTTATAGGCCAACTACAGAGACTGGTCATTTAGCCCACCTCCCCACTTTTTGCGATGTGGGTGCAGGTAATGAGATTCAGTCTTTCAACCACTATTTGAGCACATTTTATGGCATGAATGGATGTTTCATTTCATCGCTTTATGAAGTTAATTTAGAACAATGTTTGGGATACTTTTGAGGGTGTTTTGAAGTGACAAGATGTTTTTTAAAGTGAGGTGGAAGACCACATCTTCAGTGCCCGAGTCTTTTAATGTGGAAACGCTGACACACAGCCGAGCTGAAAGAATAAGGCTGATATTTTCATACAGCTCATAAGAACACATCAAATCAACGCATTATTATAGACTACGCTTGTTCATTTAGGCATTCACACTGTCTTCCTGAATGTGTCAGCTGCAGCTGTGTTACTTAGACTAGGCCTATGTCGCATTTCTGTAGTGTTACAGTTTGCTCGTTTGTAAAATATGCCACTCTGCTGCCAGTAGACTTGTTCATGTCTGTGATTGGTCATCTGCTGCTAACACCGCCTCTTTTATGTGAACGTGCTCACAGCTGGATTGGGAAACCCTGGGTTTCTGTCGCAGACCTGGTCCCAGTTCAGCGCAGACAAAACGTAGCAAAACTTTTTTTTCAACGGAAACGGTGGTTCCCTGAACACCCTGCTGTGTACGCAAGCGCACTGAATTTTCCTACCTTTTTAACACTGCTGTGGTTTACAAATTTGTTGCAGCCGATTGGGTAAAACCTGTGACACGCACACCAAACAGGAGAAAACATACCTTAAAGCCTGTTGCAGAACGTTGCTCATTATTGCAAGGAAACATGTCGTTCAATCCGAAAATGTTGCAAATTGGTGCAAAACGTTTTGAGATTGAACTTGCCCCAGATGGAAGTTGACGGAAGTTGAACTTCTAATTATGGTTTGTCCCAGAAGACACCGCACACAAAACGTATGACGTTAATCTCGGCTTGCGTACAGTATAGATCCTAATGTTAACCGTTTTATTCTTTAGAGGGCAACAACAGAACTTTAAATACACTTCTGAGAAGTTTTGAGTTAAGAAATCAACTGTGTACATGTCGAATATCGGCTGTCTGACAAAAATTGACGGCGAATCGAAAATGTGTTCAAACAATTTCGGACTTGACAAGTTCTGACCATGGTGCTGGCAGGTGTCAATATATAGCTGCAGAGCAACGCAATGGAGGTTAGCCCTATCTGCTAGCTGCCGATGTGTGCCGCTGTAGGGTTAACGTTAACCGGTCGACATACAATCAATAACTTTAGGCACACACCCTGTGATGGTTAGGGTAAGAGTAATATACCTCGGGGGGCTGTCAGGAATAGTTAGCTAGCTAGCTCCGGTTAGCTCCCCCAGGTCCAGTCACACAGACCACTGCAGCCAACACAGCTGACGTGTCCAGCAACAGCTGAACGATGGTGTTAATGTTCGTACCGCTATTCTATCATAAAATTCTCAGTAATGTTGTAAAGTTTTAACCTAAATCAAGATACATCTGGCTCGTGATGTACAGAATATTCTTGCTTTGTGAAACTTAAAGAGGTGGTATTATGCTTTTTGGCTTTCCCCCTCTCCTTTATTGAGTTATATATCTTTTTTGTGCATGTAACAGGTTTGCAAAGTGAAAAAGCCCAAAGTCCAGCCCAACGGGAGTTCCCATCTCCCACAGAAAGCTCTGCTCTGAACTACCTGAAAACAGCTCATTTGTAGTCCAGCCCTTCACTTCCTTTACTTGTGACGTCACAATGAAAACGCATTATAAAGCTTGCCAAGCGGCTAGTGGGTCAGGCACACCCTCAAACCAAGCTAGTCTGAGCAGAGGCCCTTTGGCTCGACTCGCCTTTGTTTGGTTTTCCATTGTAGAAATGTTGTACCTGTACCTACTTCCAGGTACTTTTTTTCATATCACCTTGCCTCCATCGAGGTTCCAGGCGAGCTGAGGGATACTAAAATGTAACGTGAAAACACGACAGACTGCTGATTGGTCAGAGAGAATATTCACTATTCACTGCATCATCATTGCGTGCGCCAGACAGAGGCCAGCAACAGAAACTTTTACAGTTTTCATATGGAATTTCATCACTAAATCCACTTCTGAGAAGTTTTGAGGTGAGAAATCAGCTGTGTAGATTTCGAATATTGACAGTTTTACGAGAAGTGATGGCGGAACAAAAATGTGCTTGAATATTTTCGTAGTTGAGGAGCTCTGTGATTGGCTGCGGGGGAAGCCTGCACCAACCCGCGGGAGGATCGTGTGAGGCCGGCCAGCCGCCCGCTCACAGAGCCCTCTGCTCCCGCCGTCACACAGACCGCTGCAGCAAGGCTACAAGGTTTTCATACCGCTTATCTGTCTTTACATTCTGAGGAATGTTGGAATGTTTTAACTTTAAAAAGAGAAAGCTGTGTGGATCGCTGGTGTGTGTGTCGCATTGAACATTACGTCGCGGCAGTTGTGTGTGGCGTCGCTATGACGACAAGCTATGTACCATCTCTGGGTACTATCTGCAATGGAAAACGGAGCAGGGTCGAGTAGAGTCGAGTCCATCGATTTGCGCTATGGTAGCATTTTTCAGCAAGGCAGCCCAGATCATCAGAACACCGGCAACAGCTCAACGTTTAGTCCTAAAACACATTTCAACTCCGACTCTGTTTGGGCCTGGAAATTCACAATCACAACCTGTAAGTATGCTTTATTGGTTGTGAATTATATTTAAAATAAACACAATAAAAAAATACAAATACACAATACAAAAATAAACTCAATGTAACTTCAGACTGTTCAAGTGCGGAGTTGTTGTAAACGTTGGCTAACACAGCTAAATTTGTAGCTATAATACTAGCGTTTCACCCGATGTGAAAGCTACTGAGCAAACGTTCAAATTGTTTGGCCAATTTTTATGTAAAAACGAGTTGAAATATGGTGATTTTTGTAGTGGTTTAAGGTAAGATGTGGAACAATGATAGGTTACGGTCGCAGTCTGAAGCGGCTTTGATTTGGATCACACTACCATGTTTCTTACGACCCGCTCTGATTGGCTGGGAACTACGCATGTGCAACTCCCAACAAAGATTTTGTACAAGTAAGATGCATCACTCTGTAGCTCAAGAGTGGAGCATACAACACATAGGGTGAAAAGAGGAGCTGCAGCAATGTGCAGAATGAGAAAAATATGGTGTTTTTTGAAAATTAAACCATGTAAACCTGTTCTGGTACAACCCCTAAATAAGATTTTGAACCTGAAAATGAGCAGAATACCACCTCTTTAAAATCACTTTGGAACAAATATACAACAACAGTATGAATTGAAACATTGCTTTATTATCATTACGCTATTAAATAAATATTTACAGTATTAATATACTATAATAATATTATATAATTAAAAATATATAGTAAATATTAACGCATAATGTACACTGATTGGTACATTGACACACTTTATCAGCTCTTTTTATTTTTAACGGCTCTGCGTGGGCCGAACGGCCGAGATAAACGTTGTAGTGAACAACGGTGTGGATTTGTGCATTTTACATTGAATAAATTTGGAGCTACCCTAAATTCCTTTCTCCTCCCCAGAGAAGATGGGGAGGGGTCAAAGTTGCTTTCTCTAAGTGCTATCCCGACCATAAAACTGGCACCTTTTTGATTCCGAAGCTGATAGCCTGACTGTTAAACTGACAAAGGGACACGAGCCAGCCATTGGCATCTCCCTGAACAGCCTATCAAAACTGGCCCCCCCACACACGTTTCCGTGGCAACTGACCTTATTCTTTGTTTTATTACCACATCAAAAAGGAAAACCCCTGTCTCACCCAAGTGTGACATGGTCCAGACACTGAACTTTGGATGACAGAGGACTGCAGTCTCCAAAGACTCAAAGCATTTAATTAAGTTAATTAAATCTTTAGTTGCCTGAATACGTTTGCCTCTATTTGAGTAGTTATGTTGACTGTTGTTGCTATCTGTTGTTGATATTAGTGCTGAAAAGAAGTTACTTGTGCAGTGTTTTTATTTTCAGCAAGACACTCCTTCATCTAATGTAATCAATGCTTGTTCATAATACTTTCCTACAAAATCCCTTTAGAAATGATGACAAAGAAATGTTTTACTATACTCTTAATCGCCAGCTTGAATTTAAGGATGAATCAAGAAATTCCCCGGTTCCTAAGGAGAGATGATCTTTGATTTAATCCAAGCTTTCCTCATGTAACCTGAGCTCCCCCAAGTGGGCGAAATAAGTATTACATGCCCTCGTCGGAAATGCCGTTAAATGTATAAATATCCTGACCAATAATGTGACAACTGTTTCCTGTTACCAAATGCTTAGAACAGTACAACCGTTCAACCATTGAGGTTCGATTGTGGAAAATGTTTGATTATAATACGTGCAAATAGATTTCTTTTCTTTAGACATTAAGTTTAGAAAGGCAGTCCCATGGGGAAACCTGAGACGCCCCCTGGGGAACCACGCCCCAGACAACAAAAGAGCGACACGTGACCTGCTCGCTCTTCTCTTCTCTTCGCTGTTGGCTCTTCCGCCCTCTGGACGTTTCGGCACGAGCAGCGTGCCTCGCCAGGCAACGCCCAGACTCGGCCAGCGAAACAAACAGGCCCTTTTGTTTGCCTGAAGCTACACACCTGAAGTGCCGCGACATCGATCTGCCTTCAGTTTGTTTTATTTTCTTTATTTCTTTTGTCTGTTAAAGTTATCAGTCCGTTAAGTTACACTGGACTAATTCAGGAACGACCAAGTTCCATTTTAAGCCTTTTTCGTCGAGCCAACTTCACCGAGGTCAGACCAAGCCACGTGGTCTCGCCAGCTACAACGAAGGAAACCTGCAAACAGCCGAATTGCCAGACGGAGGAGGCGTTTTCAATCAGACACGGAGAACCCTGGAGAATCCCTAGCAAAAAGCCAGGATCGGCAGCTAGAGTGGGACCCGTGCAACAGGCCAAAAGCAGGCTGTCGACAAGCAGTAAGACTTAACACACGTTCTGTGATCAGATGTCCATTTTAACTCCTAAATTATGACATTAGTTTACTTTCATTAGCTCTTCTATGCCGTATGAGTCAAATGCTTCCCACAATCGAACCTCCAGGCTCATTGTTCAGCAATGTTTATGTTCCCTGTATCCAACCATCTTTATATCACCTTAGTTAGAGAATAAATTCACTGTAATATAATCAAGAGCTGTGTGTGTTGCCTATTTCTAGTTCCTGCCAAGAGAATTGACCCTTTAGATATGAGACTGACTGACTGATTTAAGATAATTGAGCGATTATTAACTAACTGATCACTAGTAATAATTGTATAATTATTCAAAACTACCTAGAGGTCCGGAGACTCTAGGATTATAACAACTCTGGTGGTGCCCTTAACGAGGAAAATTTATGAATTTTAATTCATAATTGGGTATCAATTCTCATAAATTTATTAAAATGCATAACTAATAAATTTAGGTCTACTACAACGTCTAACTACAACGTCTAACTACACGTCGAGTCGACACGGACCGTAACTCTGTGATTGGTTGGCTGGGCAGCCTCGCCCTCCAAGCCGACAGGAAGTGCCCGTGCTTTGAAGTAACTTTTACCAGCGCCCAAGATGGCGGCTGTAACATGGTGGATCAATATATCTGATCGTCACAACCCGGGCGAAATGACTCGTTTCATTATCAGAATGTGATCCACTCGGTCGATAACATTTGAAAAGGCTACATCAGCGTTTACAATTTTACCCCCATTCACGTTAGCGGAGGGCTAAACCAGAAGTTAGCCGCCTCTGCTCGCAAAAGTCAACACGGAGGACGCTGTAGCGCTACTGCCGACTGGCGTTTGGGGTTTGTAATTGCAGATTGACGGACACACGGACGCACAAGTATAAATGCCTGGTTACGTGTGTAGCCTATGGCTTAGACCCAACGCAAGAGTATAAATCAAGCTTAACATTTGACATAAATGACAAGGAACAGGATACAAAAAGATTATGAAGGCACTGAATGTTCCTAGAGACGCCGCTGGAAGCATAGTTTGCGAGTTCAAAGTTAAAGGAACAGTGGCTACACTACCTAGATGGGGCAGAAAAAGGAAACTATCAACAGCTGAGGAATGCAACATTTCTGAGAATGCAGGTTGTGAAGACCCATCAAGTGACTGCAAAAGACCTGCAGCAAAGTCTTGGTGGCAACAGGTACTGAGATTCAGTGAGGACAGTAACGCACATGCTGAACATAGATGGTTTCCATGCCAGAACTCCAAGACGTACACCACTACTGACCCAAAGGCACAAGAAAAGTCCGCTCAAATATGATCAAAATCATCTAAATAAGCCACTGAAGTTTTGAGAAACAAAACTGGACCTTTTCAACACGATGGATCAGCAGTATGTCTGGAGGAAGACGAATGCCCACAGTTAAGCATGGTGGTGGCTCGGTGATACTCTGGGGCTGCTGGCATCCTCTGGCACTGGAAACCTGTAGTGTGTGGAAGGCAAGATGGATTGGACTGGAAGATTCTACAGTGGACATCACAGTTACCTGACTTGAACCCCAGAGAAAATCATCAACACAGCCTGTTCAACCTGCTGCCTTCTGTGAAGAGATATAGAAGTTTCTGCTGCCACACCAACAGACTGCAGAGCAGCTTTTCCCCCCAAGCTATCAGACTTTTAAACTCTACTTCATCCTCAGCACTGCTCAAGTGATGATAGCTTATTTCTGTTTCCCATTTTTCATAATTGATTTTGTATTGTATATTATATATTATTATTATTATATATGTATATTATCTGCTATTATCTTCTGCTATGTAGCAGAAGAGAGTTACACAGTTACTCAATTTCACTCTACAACTTGTTATATTGTGACAATAAACCGACCTAGCTACCTACCTACTGCTCATGAGGAATGGGCCAAGATTCTTCAGGAATGCTGCCAGAAACGAGCGTCTACGCATCTCGTTTGCAGTAGGTCATAACAGCAAAAGGGTGCTCTAGTAAGTACTAAAAATGCTTGCCATGAAGATGTTGGGAATGGAGAAGTCATTTTTAGTTGCATTTAAATTAAAACTAAATTTTGGGAAACCACTTAAAGCATTCATTGTATTGAGCTATTTCAGTTGCTTTTGTTGGATTTGTGCAAACAGCTGAAAGTCTGTACATTTTGATAATAAACCTAATTTGCAGTGGTGGTTGAATAATTTTGATTGGAACTGTAAATGTCCCAGTCAGTGGAAAGTCAGAGTCACTGCCAGACTATTTTCTCTTCCACTCACATTCTCCATGTCACCCTAATCAGGCTTTAGTTTATGGTCAAAAACCCATAACATATAATTATATTTAAAATTTCTGAGCACCTCAATGCTCAATGTAGTACATTTACAATGTTATAAATATTTGTTTTACTTGTATTGATATAAAACATGCTTAATACCAATTAAACCATGTTGCAAATATTAAACTGTTAAAGTCAGCAACTAAACAAAGTCATCTATTTTGACATTTCACATTTTAACATTTAACCTCACTAGGGTTGTACGGATATTGTGAAACTCAGGTTTCACCTACTTTTCATCATTTCTGTTTATGTAAAGGCATTCAGGTTTCCTGGAGGTGCACTGAGCTGTGAGTAATCTAACTGAAGAACAGAATGGGCTGTGTTCACAAGACTCACCTCAAACTGAAACTTCAAGATGTTAGTGAATGAATAACTTATGTTCCCTTCAGTTAAAATGTTGTATCTTACATTTTGACCAGGTTATAATGTGTTAATCATGTTTAACTTGTCAAAGTTACAAACTTCACTAAACAATTTGGACATATTGTGTGTAATCACTATAAATGCATCATTACATTTAATAAACACACATGATCAGAGCAATGCAAAAGCATCCTTTATTTGATTTAAAATATTTTTTGTAGCTTTAAGTAAAAATGCATTTCATAAATTTTGAATATCGTGGAAAAGTTTTTGTTTTCATTATTTAAGTCAAAAAGTTAATATTTATATATTCTAGATTCATTGCACGTATGGTGAAATATTTCAGGCCTTTTTTTGTTTTAATCTTGATGATTACAGTTTACGGCTATTGGAAATCAAAAATGAATCTCTCAAAATATTAGAATAAAGAATGTATGAAACCTTCTGAAAAGTAGAAAAGTTCTGAAAAAGGTTAATTTCTGCACTCAGTGCTTGGTCGGGGCTCCTTTTGCACAAATCACTCTATCAGTGCGGTGTGGCATGGAGGCAATCAGCTTGTGGCTGCTGAGGTGTTATGGAAGCCAAGGTTGCTTTGATAGTGGCCTTCAGCTCATCTGTATTAATGGTTCTGGTGTCTCTCATTTTCCCCTTGAAAACTACCCATAGATTCTCTATGGGGTTCAGGTCAGGTGAGTTGGCTGGCCAATCACAGTACCACGTCAGCGAACCAGTTCCTAGTGGTTTTGGCACTGTGGGCAGGTACCACAGGAAAAGGAAATAAGCATCTCCATAAAGCATGTCAGCAGATGGAAGCAGGAAGTACTCTAAAATCTCCTGGCAGACACTGCCTCAACTCTGGACACCAGCAGAGGACATGGCATCCCAAATCAACACTGACTGTGGAAACTTCACACTGGACTTCAAGCAACTTGGGTTGTGTGACTTTCCACTCGTCCTCCAGACTCTGGGACCTTGGATTCCAAATGAAATGCAGAATTTACTTTCATCAGAAAAGAGGACTTTGGACCACTGAGCAACAGTCCAGTTGCATTCTCCTTAACCCAGGTAAGCCGCTTCTGACATTGTCTCTGGTTCAGGAGTGGACTGACACTAGAAATGTGACACTTGTAGCTCATTTCCTGGACACGTCTGCGCCTGGTGGCTCTTGATAACTCCAGCCTCAGTCCACTCCTTGAAAAGCTCCCAAGTTGTTGAATCTGCTTTGCTTGACAGTCTCTCAAGGCTGTGTCATCCCTGTTGCTTGTGCACCTTTTCCTACCACACTTAACCTTCCAGTCAACTTTCCATGAATATGCTTTGATGCAGCACTCTGAACAGCCAGTCCTTTCAGCAATGACCTTCTGTGGCTTACCCTCCTGGTGAGTGTCGTCTGGACAACTCTCAAGTCTTTTCCATGATTGTGGTTGTGTTACTGAACCAGACAGAGATTAATGGCTTTTCCCAGGTTGGCTTCCAATAAATGTTTTTAAAGTGCATAAATAAATCCAAAATTGTAACCCTAACCCTGGGTCGTCAGCGCGCATGTAAACGTGTAGCGTGTGTGTGTGTGTATGGTGGCGGAAGAGGAACACTTGCTGAAGAGAGTGACCCCCAGCTTTTCTGGTGTTGTGCTGAGATGTCCGCACCTCGCATGACTTTTGAATAATTTATTACCGTTGATGAACCACACAAGGAATATTTTATTGTTTTTAAATAGCCGGCTACCTGAAATAGACCCGTGAGGAACTGCAACGTGCATGTAGGTGTCAGCAGCACTGCATGCACGTAAAACTCACACAGGACCGGTGAATAACAGGGGGGGGGAAGAGAGAGAGAGAGAGAGATCTTCAAAAAGCCTCAGTTTAGCAGGAAATTTACAGTGTAAGTTGAAGGAAAAAGGAATAGAGACTGCAGCTCTGCGCATGAGTCACACATGAGTCGACTATCAGTCAACTATAGGCAGGATTTGACGATTCTGATTCGACTATGTAAACCCTTAGACAGCCCTAGATAACAAACCAGAGGGCTTGGGATGTTATCACTACGAGGCTTAAAACATCACATTAGATTTGATGTCTACTGTTTTAAACTGTTATATTATTATTTAAATGACTAACAAGTAGTCTAAATGCTAAAATTCCAGTTGACTGATGAACAAGTGAACTATGACTCAAAGACTGTGTAAAACAACAGGAGAAAACTCTTTGTAGTACTTGCCCGTTTCGTCTCAAAAAGTCCAACAACCCATCCAACAACAAACGCCACCTAATCTTTGGAAAACAGTCTCAAACTGTGGCATTTACAGGAGGCTCAGTAAGCAAACTTTGGCATGCTACTTGCCATGGAAACCAAGTACTCAATGACTCAATTCAGACCTGCCCCAGTCAGCTTAACTAAATGAAAAGATTTCCGATTGACTTCTACAGTGAGTGCTGCTTTTTATCAGTGAAATACTGCAGTAGATATAAGTTGGTCAGTTGTTTGCTGTACACTAATTAACGCGAGCCGAACATCTGGGGAAAATGCCATACTCTGATGTTACTCACTCATACTGATGTTATCTCTCAACCTTCCTGTGTAACTGACAGCATCCCAGCACGCGAGATATATAGGATGAGAGCTACATAGACTTTGACACGAAAGCGCAGCCCTTCTTTCTCTGACTTATATTAACTCATTTTATTACAGGTGTCCTAAGACTAATTAGTGTGTCTTATTTATTATTTATGACAATCGCCTGTGCATTGTGCACTCTGTTGCCTCCAGGTTCTCATACAGAACATTCAAAAACTATTAGCCTATGACAAAATCATTTCTTAACAAATATGCATGAGTAAAATTAAGTAAAATCTATTTCAGTCCCTTTTCCTCAACAAAATAAATATCAATAGAAAAATTAAATGCTAATTCGTTCGAATCAAATGAATTAAATCAAACTTATCGAACATTTGTTATATTGTCATTGAGCAAAATTATAACTCAATTATTATCATTATGTTTTATTGCCCAGCCCTTGTTCTAACCCACCGTCCAGCTGGGGCCTTCTGTGTAGAGTTTGCATGCTCTCCCTGTGCCTGCTTGGGTTTTTGCCGGGTACTCTGGCTTCCTCCCACAGTTCAGACTGTTAAGTTAGGTTAACTGCATAGAGTGCCTCCATGTGTCAGCTCTGTGAGTGACTGGCAACCTGTCTAGGATGTACCCCTACTAGACCCTCAGAGGATAAGCGGTTATAGATAATGGATGATAAAAGGTCTTAAAACTTGATTTTGGCCCCATCAGAGCCACACGATTAACTAATGAGGACCCATTTTAATTGATCCTGTCCTTCCTTACCAAATCTGCATATCAGACTACTAAAACCAAATGACATGCAGAGAACCTGATCATTTTGATGATGCAGTAGCAGCACTGATAGACTCTATCGTCGGTGTTGCATAGCATACCGACGGAGAGGAATATGGTAGGAACTTGCACAGAGGAAAAACTTTCTGTTTAGTCCCCCAAATAAGACATAGGCCTAAAGCACATGCACACACAAAGTATACTGTAAACAGACAAGCTGACTAACATACTGTAGAGAAGATATATCTACTGCAATCTTTCAAACACTCCTTTCAGCTTGTTCCAACCAATTACCACATGTTAATTCAAGTCCCTGTCCAACAGGCCTGGTGCAGTTAATGTGTTTCAGCTCTCTGTCAGCCCTGTTCTGAACAGAGACAGCAACTGGAGGTAGGAATAGCTGAAATTGTATAAATGATTAATAATGAATTTCATTAAATAGTTTGTTTGTTTTTTTCATACACACTGCATTATCAAATCAAAAGTGTCATGGATAATTAGTTAACTACATGATAGCTTCATGTCTATGTAGGGTAGGCTAACAGCAGAGAAGCAGTGCGGTTTACCTGCGACAGGGAGAGAGGAGAAAACATCATTTTGAAGAGAAGGAGCTGAATCAGATCAGGCCGTGCGTTAAGATCCCTGGGCTGACATTTTACATTTCCATAACGTCGTCATCTGTTTTTGCAGCTCTCTGTAAGCTCATCCCCGCTGAGCAGCGGTACCTCCGGGTTAGAGAAAACGCATTTCCTGGGCTGTTTAACTGTTCAAGAATCCAGATATGAGATAGCTCGCTCGCCTCGGATGACTCTGCCGCGTTAACTCCAGAAATGATGACACGCCAGAAAAGTTATGGCCCTGGAAACATGCCCGGCAGGGAGAAAAACCCAGAGAAAGTTCGGAATAATCATTCTTAGGAGAATATGGCCGGAGGTGCAGGAGCACGGGGACTGTGTCATTTAGAGTGGGAAGGAGATGAGGGGGCGAAGAATAAAAGAAAGAGACTGAAATGACGTTATGAACTCAGCCCATCCCAAACGACGGGCTTAAAGCCGCAGCAGCTGCTGGACTCTGCCTCTCCACACTGCCTCATAGCACACGCTACATTTCATCTCATGCTACAGTATACCACCGCCCACTGTGGCTGTACTACAGTACTAAAAACAACTTGGATTTTAACTGTACACTTAGAGAAGGTTCTTAATTTGCTCCGCTCCCTTAACCGGTGAGAAAACGACACCAAATATAACCTCGGTGAACACACTGAGCCTGATGATGGTGTTTTTGAAGAGGATGATGATCAAGATCTTCGGTCTGTTACCAGGCTTTGCCGTTGCTCAAACACACGGTGCTGGTCACACAGTGGAGGGTTAGGAGGGTGCTTCAAAAACAAGAGGTGTAGGCTACTTTTAGTAGGCCTATCTATTGTAGGCTTCTTTAAATACACATCTGAAGTAGGCCTACTTTACGTGAGTATTTTCATTTTACGCTTCATACCTGTATCCCACTTCACTGCAATTCATAGTGAATTAAACAAAATTATTTGATAATAGCTACTTGTTAGGCTACTTAACTAAGAAGATTTTTACATATAAAATATAGGATCAGCTTATACAATATAGTGCATTGTTATATAACTACACCTCAAACAACTTAAACACAAAAATGCAACTTATTGGTATTAAGAAATCTAATAATGTAATTTTGTAGGGCACATTTTTCTGCTCTGAATCCTTTTACTATTAATACTTAGGCTATGTACTTTTACTTTAGTGACATTTTCAATACAAGACTTTTACATGATACTTTTCCTTATGTAAAAGATCTGGATACTTTCTCCACCACTGCCAGAAACTGATATTTTGTTTTAACATTAGATTAGATTCAACAATTTCTATATAATTGCTAATAAATGTACTTTAAACATAACATTAAATTGTTTTATGAACTTAAAAATTGTTTTATAAAATTATGCTTATTAATCATTCAACTTAAATCTTACCACTACTCACTCTTCATTCACTCACTTTCTACAATCACCCTCTTCTGGCCTGGTTCTGACAGAGTCCTGGTGCCACAGCATGACAGGTTTTGTGAGATCAACATTTTTATACAGCCTATGGATCATTCTCCTTGATCTCTGGGGAGGACAGCAGGGCCATTAAAAGATCTGACAGTGTGTCAGACACTGACTGGACCGCCAACTACCCAGCTAAAAGCTAAAAACACTATATATCTCGCCAATATGCCTGCTTGCTGCACTTTATGAAAGGTATGGAGCAGATTTTATTTGTCTCTGAGCAGTGAAAGTTGGTTGACAGACACAAGACAGAAAAGATCTGTTTGTGAAAAGCCACAGCCAACACGCCGCTGGTTCCAGTAAAGCTGGACCGCACATGTGAAAGCATACATGATTGCGAGATAAAAGCCTTTTCACACGGGATAAAGCTGCAAACTTTAGTTGAAGTGAATGCGTTATAGATGCGGATATTCTTTCCGCACTGATCTCCGTATCAAAGCGGCTACAATCTCACTCTCCCCTCCCAACTCCTGTCGCCTGGAGTAGCATGTAGCTGCAGTACCGGAGGCTGCAGTTCAGGACCGCAATCCTAGGACCGGAACATCAATTCCAGGACCCTTGTTTACTTTGATACTGCCAGCTAGCTGACTGGCTAGCTAGTTAGCTAGCTTGTTATGTTACTCTTTACAGCCCCCCGAAGCCAATTACTCTTACCACAACCACCACCGAGCGTGTGCCTAAATCTGAGTTATTGATTATATGCACATATGGGTTCCAATATGTTCCAGCAGTATCCTTAATGCTACCAGCCTACCTCAGGCATGAGTGAAACCACAAATACATGTTGGCCATACATGTTATAAACTGTTCTCACTATAGGCTATACTACATCTTTAATAAAACACATTTCATTTCACTGCACAAAGTGTATTTAAGTCATTATGATCAGTATTTTAACTCATTACTCTTACTGCCATCATTTAAGCTAAAGCTTTGTTTGTTTTTTCTTGAAAAATAGTAGCCTATGATCCTTAATGACATATGATAAATGACAATAAACAAATACTGTTACATTTTAATTCAGCCTTCCTTTTTGGACATTGCACGCTGTGTTCAGGAGGATTTAACAACAACACTAAATTATATTATAATTATATATATATATATATTATATATATATATATATATATATATATATATATATTATATATATATATACATTCTATTCTCAAGGTGAATCACATCTCATCTAATGGAGCTGCAA